GCCCGCCGGGGGGAGGGGCCGAGCGCCGCGCCCGCCGGGAACCCGAGCCCGGGGCAGGTGGAAGGCTGCGGCGTCGCTGCCCTCACCGTTCGCGGCGTGGGGCCTGGTGGTCCCCGGAGGGGAGGGAGAGGGAAGTTGAGGCGAGGACAGTAACCGGTCTTCTAGACGGAGGCGTTTCTGCTTCGCAGCAGCCGCGTCTGGCGCCAAAACCGGGCTCCGCCCACTTCCTCGCCCCTATAAGTGGATGCCTCCGAACGCTAGGGGTGAGGGAGTAAAGAGAAACTCGGATGGGGAGAATTGGGAGCTAAGAAGGAGTGCCCCTCCCAGACCACCCTCTCCAAAGACCTCTCTTGAACCCAAGGGGTCGACTCCCAAAGACGTTGGCCAGGGTTAGGTTGGTGGAGCGTCAAGTGTAACGTGTTGACTAGAAGTCGCTTCGGGTGTTTCCGGAAGGGGCCGAGTCAGTCAGCGCTGGGGGGAGAATTAGGAGAGGGAAATCGCAAGGGGGAGGTTACAAAGATTATTCTGGCGGGAGCTCGGGGGCGGGGGCGGGGGGGAGGCGCGGATTATCACAGGCTTTGCTGCAGGGACCACCTCCCGGGTTGAGGGGGCTGGACTTTAGGGCTGTGCTTTAAGCTCCTCCCGACAGCGTTAATTTCAAACTGCGCGACCGTTTCTCACCTGCCCTGCGCTAAGGCGGGGGCTGGACCCAATTCCGTGAGAGAGAAATACGCAGGACTCGAGCCTTCCGCAATTCACTGAGACCAGTTACGCAAGTGACGTCAAGCACTACTACTGGCTGCAAGGGGAGGGAGGAGTACGTACCTGGCGTAAGGAGGGCGTAGAGCGTTCCCGCCATTGGCGGCGGTTAGGGCGTTTACGCAACGGCTTGACGTAGGGGAAGACGCGTTAGTCGGGGGGAAGGTTCTAGAAAAGCGGCGGCAGCGGCTCTAGCGGCAGTAGCAGCAGCGCCGGGTCCCGTGTGGAGGTCCTCTTAGCGGTGTTGTTTCTCGAGCAGCGGCAGTTCTCACTACAGCGCCAGGACGAGTCCGGTTCGTGTTCGTCCGCGGAGATCTCTCTCATCTCGCTCGGCTGCGGGAAATCGGGCTGAAGCGACTGAGTCCGCGATGGAGGTAACGGGTTTGAAATCAATGAGTTATTGAAAAGGGCATGGCGAGGCCGTTGGCGCCTCGGTGGAAGTCGGCCACCCGCCTCCGTCTGAGAGCGGCGGTGAAATTGGGCCACTTCAAAAGCGGTTGGTTTCAGGATATTTTTGAAGAGGGTTCATTAGCGGAGGCCTGATTGAACAGTACCTTCCCCACCCTCAGCCTGCCGGCGCCATTTCCCTTTGCTGGGGGTGGGGGATGGGGAACTTCCACATGGCGGATGCAGCCCTCGTTCGGGGAAAAGTGGGGCGCGGAGGCGGGAATTCTTACTCCCTTTTCAAAGCACGCTGATTTGGGGGCCCTGGCGTCCCCGCTTCTGAGCTTTTCGGCGGGCTTCGGATCCTCCTGAGCGAGGCTGCGGAGTTTCCCCTCCCCCCTCTCCTCTCCCGGGAACCGGATTTGGCGGCCGCCATTTTCATTCCTTTCCTTCCTCGCAGCGTTTTTCTTTTCAATCTCTGGATTCTGCTAGTTTGATTACTTTATCGAAGAATAGAAGTGGTTAACTATTTTTCTTTCTTTTCGGGCTGTTTTCATGCCGTTTCGAGGTGGATTCCGAGTGTTTTGTGAGCTTGGATCTTTAAAAGTCCTGCGCACCTCGTTAGAGGCTCTTTCCTTTCCCCTCGATGAAATGGCGCCATTGCGTTCAGAAGCCACACCGTAGAGCGGGCGGGTGGGGGAGTCGGTTCCCCGGGGCTGGTTCGCACGGTTTAAGAGGAGGAGGTAAAACTACCACCCAGGGTGTCGGGCCCAGTTTTAAGTCGAGCCGTACTAAGAACATTTTGTTTTTCAGTTTCGTGGGTTTTTTTGAGTAACGGTTTTATCTGGGTCTGCGGTGATTAAAAAAGCTAGTTGAATCGCGGGAAACTTTAGAAATAAAAATTCGGAGCCATTAAGTTAGTACCGACTGTGGGTGGCAGTGGGGAAGGTGGTTGGGGGGGGATGTCGGTTTCACAATTCTTTAATTTCCTGAAGGATTTCTTTTGAACTGTAGAATTCATACTTCAATATTTTTGCTGGGAAACAATCTTTACTGGGTGACACCAGAGGTTCTTGCGATACGGTAGAAATTAAGAGGAAAATGAAAAATGATTTTATCTTTAGCTCTTTGGTTAAAACGTGGTGCAGTGCTTCGCTATGAGTAACGGCTGGGCCACTATGTATTTGAACTTTGTCATTTGCTTTCTCATCTCTGTTTGCTATGATGGTTGATCATTACATTGATAAGAATAAGGTCTCAAGCGAAGGGGGCCTGATTGGGTACTTTCTTTGACCTTAAGCACACTTTTAAAATAACTTTGTTTGTAATCGATAGTGGACATCGGGTAAGTTTGGAAAAAAATTGAGGTAAGTAATGAGTTTTTGCCTTTTGTTAGTGATGTGTAAAAATTATTGTAAATGATTTTTTTTAACTGCGTAATGTGGATTGTGAAAGACCGACTTAACGCTAATTAGATAAATAAGCTTAATTTAAATACCAATATGTCAAGTAATCGTATAACGAGTTATTTGAATGTTTTAAGAGCTTGATAGTTTTTTGACCTTTGAAAATTTTTCACAATTCTGAGAACTGTGCAGGGAAAAAATTAAATGCTTATCACTGTTTTTTGAGCTGTTCGGAAATTTCATGCATGGAGAAAGAAACCTCCATAGAACTGAGTTAGAGAGCTGTAATATTACTTGCTTATGAATTATTTCCTGTTATATGGAAAATTATATTTGAGCTTTGATTTGTATTATATACTCATAGTAGTTGCCCCTGGACATTATGATCGATTCTGGTTTCTGAGTATTTTAATTTTTTTTAACTTAGTTCTCTGAAAACAAAGTATAACCTGTTTTTTTCTTGACTGACAGCCGAAAATACAGGGCTGTTAATGCAAAATACTTGCTTGGTGGTTTATAGGGCTTAAAATTTTTCAGCCCAGGTCCCCAACCTCCCCGCGTAAAATTAGAGACATTTGTGTTGTGTATTTTGCCAGGTGGCCATTAAGGCCAGTACACCTGAGTTTTTGTGGGTGATTTTTTTTCTTGCTTCGATGTAGTGTAAATTGTAGTAGTACAAAATTACTGAGTAGTTAACAGTGATCATTTAAAGTTTTACGGTTTTTGAAAAGTGAGATTATAGCACATATTTTACTGCATTTATGGTTCAGTAATAATTCAGATTGTTCTATGTTCTGTAAATACCAATATAAGTGTGCCCTCAAAAAAACCAGGTATGTTAAAAACTGTTGAAGCTTCTAAATACCCACCGTTGGTAATAAAAGTCATTTGTGCCTTGGTCAAAGGAAAGGCAGATTTTATAAGGATATTTTGGTATTACGCATTGAATGTTTTAAGTCTCCCCCCCACCCCCCATGGAGAGTTGGTGTATGGGGAAAGAATGATTTTTTTCTTAGTGGGTTTTTTTTTAATTGAGATACATTAGAATCACCACCAGAGGGAGCAGTAAAGAGAAAAGATGTCACGGTTTTAGACACTGAATCATGAAATGGTAAATTATGGGTTATAAGTAAAGAACGAACAGTTTTTATGTTAAAAAGCGGTGTATTTACAATGTGTATTTAAAAGCGAGTTACTTTGTTTCGGGCAAAGGATTGAATGCAAATTTTGACAAAAGTCCTTTAAGCCTTCAATGACCAAAGAATAGGTTTATTCCTTTCTCTTCATAAAGTTTTAAGATAAAGGGATGTTAAATTTATTCAAAATAGTTTAATGTCAAGTAAATTTAGATCATGCATTAATGACTTTGAAACTTGTGTAGATCAGCTGGGGCAATTTTTTTTGGTGTAACACGACTAATTTGCAGTTTAACATATGGTTTAAATTTGATGTAAGTTTTTTTTTTCCCCCCAGAAAACTTTAGAAACTGTTCCTTTGGAGAGGAAAAAGGTACTCTGCCAGCAGGTCACCTCATATTTAAGAATTTAATTTCCTGCATACAAAGAGGAAATGTAAATAAAAATTGAAATGGTGTTTTCCTTTGCAGAGAGAAAAGGAACAGTTCCGTAAACTCTTTATTGGTGGCTTGAGCTTTGAAACCACAGAAGAAAGTTTGAGGAACTACTACGAGCAATGGGGAAAACTTACAGACTGTGTGGTATGTTACATAAAAGTGCCTACAGATAACTAGTCTTTCAACTGTTGGGCTACTGTGTTTAAGATGTTGAGTAAAATATGGAGAAAATTATTTTAATGTCTGTGTTCATTGTGAGAACTGCTAGTCTTTTAAATTGGTAGTTCATAACATAAGTAATGAAATGAGGGGCTAAAGTTTCCCCTTTGGTTTTAAGGTTATGAGGGATCCTGCAAGCAAAAGATCAAGAGGATTTGGTTTTGTAACTTTTTCATCCATGGCTGAGGTTGATGCTGCCATGGCTGCAAGACCTCATTCAATTGATGGGAGAGTGGTTGAGCCAAAACGTGCTGTTGCAAGAGAGGTGAGCAAATATAACTATACAATAAATATGAAGAATATCCTGTCCCACTGAAGATTAGACTAATATTTGAAAGAATTAAGTTTCCTATCTTTTTAAAGCTGTTAGTTTTGTATTCTTTGCTTTTTTTAGATTTACATACTTCTTTCAAAAACTGGGTTCTTAGTCGTAAGCTGATGCTTTACCTGATGCGTTAGAGTATAAAAGCTATCTTTGGTACCCAGATAATGTGCTTTAAATCATGTTTTGGTTTCTTCTG